ATCAGGCATTTACAGTAAGCTACTTTTAATGATGTAACTTTAATGTTAGCCTGTTTTCTACTTCATCACTCATGGACAGAGGGCTCTAGTGTTTAGTTCAACTCAGCCTATTTTATGGAACCATTCTTCACAGGAGTTTCATCAAAACTCCATTTTTTTGGAAGACAGAAACAAAGACTCTCCTCTCCCCTTGGTCTCCTGCACCTCAACATCTCACTCTGCATCATGAGGTCAAGCTGCCTCTGCACTTCTCAGCTTGCTTGCTGTGAACAGATGCACACACTGCACTGCTAGGGCTTGTCCAAAGCCATATCTTCTGGACAGAGTTTAAATAATCCACCATCCAGCCTCCTCTTTTTGAATCATGCCTGTTTCTGGCCTACCAGTTTTACCACCTTTTCTATTTGTTCAGCTTGCCTTATGTAGATGTCCCCTTTCTGCCCATCTTCCCAAGCACCTCACATGATCCTGTATAGCCATGATTGTGACATTTCTACTTTCCCATCAGCTGTACCAAACATGCTTAGACTCACATATCTTGGAGCAGTCTCTCTGGTAAATGGTTTTAATTAAAGTAGGTGAATCTTAACCATTTTGCCCCATAGCGGCACATTGGGCACTTTTGCCAAGATGGACCTGCCAGCTGTCTATTTGGACAGAGAATAATTTTCTCTTACAGCCTGGGAAATATCATGAGGCTGCTGCAATACCTTGAGATCTAGTGGGAAGTGATCCTTGCCAAAAGAAACTGAAAGCCAGATAAGGAAAGGTTAAGTGCTTAGCCTGGAGCAGCATGAGTTAACGTGATACATGTTCTAGTGAGAGAACTTGTTGAAGGATTTCCAGATGTCTGGGGTGGGCCCTGGAGAATCAGTGCAGGAGTAAGAGGGTGAGACCACTCATGCTTGAGAAGACTGAAGGGTTTGATAATACCTAATGAGCAATCCCAAACCCAATCTTTGCCTGCCCCTACTCAACCAACCAGCTACTAATAAGGATACAGTGCACCGTTGTTACTGGCACATCTAATCAGCATTGGTCCCTGTCTTAGGACCTAGTCTGATGTTCAGAGTGGTGTACCTGCTCAGCATACCAATCTCCCTACATTTATTTGAAGGAGAAGGGCTGTGCTCCATGCACAGCATCGCAGCTGGGGACAGAGTTACAATGAATCCTGTCTTCAGCCTTGCTGGCAGTGGGGCTAGTTTTCCTTCAGACCAAAGGGGTGGGAATGCCAGCTTTCAGAGGAAGGAGGACAGAGTGAGCTCAAAGACTGTTCTTAAAACATGAAAACCACCTTTTCTTTCTTAAACTGGAAAGTGGGACTGACCGATGTGAGCCCTGGGTGCAAGCCTGCAGTACTATGGAGCTCTGTCCTTCATCTCCACCACCTTGCTAGGGATATGGGAACTTAGCAGCTGTGGGTAGGAAATGATGACCAGGCAGCTCAGGTTTGGTACAGGGCCCAGTGAAGGTGGCATAGGCAGGGTGAGGCTGTTTCAGTCCACCTAGCAAAGGATGGTGATGGAAGGCAAGACTCAGCATTGCAGTTTGCAGCATCTATAACTTTTCTAGCATGTTTCTGTCTCTCTGCTGGGAGCTTTATCCATACTCCACTGCCTTCACAATGCTGCTGATCAATAGCAGAGGTGCAGAAGAAGTGAGCAGGAAGGAGGACCTCCCTGGGCCTGCCTGTCTGCAGAGAGACTAGGTGAAGAAAGTTTACCATTGCCTGGGGTAGCAAGTTATGGGTCATTCATTTACTGCCTTTTCTTTTAAAGGAATAAGGACATATTCCTCTCCACTGAAGGAGGAACCTTTTGCCTATGGGTGACAGACACGCAGCCTTCCTGCCTTCTGCTCTTGCAGTGCTTCAGCACGATATACAGTCATTAGCCTCAGACCATGCCCTGAAACACATCTGGCCCTCACAGTAGACCTTGCTGCAAGTTGAATAAGCTCAAAATGGCTCAGACCAGAAGGAGGGAAAACATCTAACCTGTTATGCAAGACTGGGAAATGGAGTCCTGAAACTGTGCCTAGAGCAGAAGTCCACTTGTTCTGCAGACGGATGATGCCCTCCCGTAAAAGAGACATGCTGAACTGCTGCCAAAGTTAGAAGTACAGTCAATAGGAACTTGTGAGCTAAATTCTTTGTTCCTTAAAATCAAATATCAGTTTCAACTCTGTGATGCTAGCTTTACATATTCACAGATTCCCAACATGTCTGCATCTCATACATTACAAAATGTCACGGAACCTGCAGGTATTACACCCTGCACACTGCGTATGTTTGAGAGAACTTAGCGGCATGCAACGCGGCCTTTATTATCCTTCCTGAAATGACAACACAGCTGCTTCCTGTGTACGACAAATGTACTTCTTTCAGTCGGGGGTGGGGTTAAAAGAGGTGATTTGGAGATACTGGCCAACTGCACGCACTTTGCAACATCTGGGGAAAGTCAAACAATTCAGCTGGATTTGGCTAAGGAGAAGGGCTGTGCAGCTTGAGAGTTGCAGGAGGGGTAGTTCTGCCTTCAGCAGGGTGGTCAAGCCTAGACACCAGTTCAGCAAGCTCCTGTATCCCTGCAAGGTTTTCCTTTCACTCCTTAAGTGCCAGTGATGTTTTCAAGACTGAAACAATTCAGGATCCTATCCTCCCTTGCAAGGGAAACTGTATGTCTACTTTGCCATGCACACATACCCATTTACGACAGGGAGGTATTTAGAGTCAAGTCTGTGACAGAGCCTGGATTTAATTAAGATGTCAGTGCAATGAATCAAGCCAAAAGAAAGAATAGCCAGAAAATACAAATCTTTCCTCCCACTCCCCTTCAGCAAAAGAATACAATCTGTGGACTTACCGTGGCAGCCCCAGCCACATCACCCAGGAAGGTGACCACTCGCTGCTCTCAGAGGCTGCCTGTGTGGCCTCTGGGGGTGGCAGGCAACCCTGCTCCTCCTGGGCCTCGCACGCTCGCATCTCCAGGGCTTTGAGCACCACTGAGGAGTTGGTGTTCTTCAGCAGGGCCACGGCCTCACTCCGACTGACTCCCGTCAGGTCAATCCCGTTCACGTTCAGGAGGATGTCACCTGAGACCAATAAAATGGATGATAAAAAACCATGCAAGTGTTTCCAGGATCCTCTCCTCACTCCCACAAACAAGCGAGTCAAGGCCATAGCCAAGAGCTTGCTGCTTGATGAGGCTGTTTGTTAATCCTATCATTTAACGTGGATGTGAAGCATATGCTAGTAAACATGCCATAGGCATGAGAGAAGGGGCCAGATCCCTGTACACAGGAGCACTGCCAGGCTGGACAGAGGCACTGGTCCTAGTTTCTTGTCATGTCATGTCCTGCATCTGGAAGTGAATGAACAGCTGGGGTCCTGCTGTACCAACAAGCTTTGGTACAGGCCACCTGATGCTAGTCCAGGCCTTTGAAGTCCACTTCCAGCTAAAAACCTTTGTACTCAATCTGAGCTTGAAACCTGACAGCTCAAAGGTGTTTTTCTCCCAGTTCTCCCTAATCTGAGGTCTGCCACACCAGCTGGCTCTTTCCAAAGTTTGCTTTGTGGAATAACGTGTTTTTATTTTCATATTAATGTGTGTTTGAATGACCGCAAGCCAAAACATCCTTCTGTATGCCTTATTTATAACGTAGGCACAGCAGCTCGGGAGAAAAATGCAAAGATGACCTCAGTCGCTAGAGGGAGAACAATAAAGACATCATTAATGTCATGCAAGCAGCCACAGTGCTAAGTGCTCTGCTACTCTTCACAGCAGGTTCCCACGCCAGGGCTTCCCTGGGCTCCCTCTGTGCTTGGCTTCTCCAGGCAGGCAGGTAGTGTGACATGGACATTAACCTCTTCTTGTGGTCTGCCCCAATGAGAAGGACAACAACCCTAAGGGCTGCTCTAAACTGTGGAGGCTTATGACACTGTTATAACATCACGTATTCATTTGTTTCTAATTTTATTGAATTAACGAGGCTGAATTTTCCATGCTGCCTCATGATGAATCTTTTTTATGAAGTGTACCCCACTGAGATGCAGTCATTTCCCAGCAGGGGGAAAGGGGAAACCTGCTGTTTTGCTCCTGTTGTTATGTTCTTACATGAGTTTTGATGAGCAGCCACAAAGGGGAGGTTCCCACATGTAACAACGCTGGATGCTGAGACCCAGGCTCATGGGACCCAGCTGGGCTGCAGCTATTCTGCACCATTCTTGGGTGCCTTCACTTCCCTCACACTCAGGATTTCCCTCCAGCTTCCAGGCAGGGACTGGGCTGAAGCTGATCATATGGGATGAAGGGCAAACAAGCCGTGTGGTTGCTGGATGAAGGGTGTTGAGGTACATGGCTCATGAAGATGTAAGATCCTGAAACCTGAGTGTGTCACCATTCCTCTACTGCCCACCTATTCCCACAAAACCAGCTGGTAAAATATGTTCCTCATCTTACTCTAAAGGCTTATTCATGCAGAGGGGGAGAAACTATTAACTTTATCACTCTGTTCCATCAGGAGCCAAATGGAACTAATGAAGCCAATGTTTCCAGGCATGCTGTTGAGCCACAAGGCACTAACATTGCTCCATATATGATGGGAATTCTGCTCCTGTATATTTCATTCAAAGTCATGAATACAATGACAAATAAGCACAAAAATTTACATTAAAAACACATCAAGGTTGCACAATGAATATTTCAGTAGTAATGAGATAGTGGCGCAAGCTCATTTTCCTGTTAAAAAACTATTTATCTCTTCTTCTACCAGAATATTTCTACATCCTACTTTGCAGAGATGGTTACTACTGCATATTATGCCCTTTCTGGTAGCTGACTTGACACTCTCTAACCCAACTCATCCCAAAATCCATGGGATGGTTGAAGATGTCAGAGTGTGATGCCCTTTCACTATCCCTCCCTTTTTCAAAAGTAGCCCTTGACTTAAAGCAGGCTTTGAAAATCCCCTCTTTTTACCTGTTTTTATCCTGCTGTCTCTGCTGATAACTCCTCCAGGTTCAACACTTATCACATAGATAGGCAAATCCCACTCCCGGTTAGATGCTCCTCCTGCTACAGTCATTCCCAGTGACTCTGTGTGATCCTTCCGGACAGACACTACCTTCTCGTGACAGGTGACAGTGTGGAGAGTGCTCTGTGATGGACAAAACAGCAACAACACACTGTGAGCATGGTGACCTCCCTGACAGTTTAGGCATTTTCTATCAAAATGAATATTTCTTGAGGGAATACCAAAGTACATCCCAGCTGCCTGGCCAGACAGCAGGCCGGACTCTCTCCAGGGCTTCAGTATCTGTGGAACCAGAGCTACCACCAAGATAACTGTGTTTTAATAGTTAAAGTCAGGCACTGCTCCCACCGAAATCATTGTTGTTTTAGTGTTGAGATTAATAGAAGTAGGTCTTTGAAATGTGAATGAGGAATCTGATTTAAAAAGAAAAAAAAGTTCTCAATATCACTATCATGCTCTTTGAGTGCTAGTGCTTAAAAGGTCACTTGGGGACAGCCACCTCTACTGTCTGAGGACAGCCATCCCCATATGTCTCCTCCTGAACAGGAAAAGTTTGCCACTTTCGCAATAACTTGTGTATGGGTGAGGGTGAAACAAACCCAGAGGTCCCCTCAGGATGGAGAACCAGCACAAGCTCCAACAAAACCTGTGAACTGAATGTCATGTTTACAATGCATCCAGTTCTTACAGAAGAGTTCAAAAGACAAATAAAACCTGGATTTAAATGTTAATTGCTTTGCTTTCCTGAAGTATTTTATAAAGTGACATCAACTCCTAACAATCCCAGCCCCTCTTGCAGAAACAGCATCATCCATTCCAGGCTCGTATGTAGACACATTTCTAGTTATATTTCAAATGTATTTTAAAAAAACACTTCTTATTCACAAATGTGACCTCACATTTGTAATATACAAAAATAATCTATAAAACGCATTTAAAGCCACATTAATCTCTTCTTAGAAATCTGACATCCCATAAAGACATTTCATCTTGATTCCTGGGCCAGCAGCACAGAAATTGGAGCAGATCAGTCCACAATGTCTCCCTGAGTGACAATGATGGACAAAGGAAGAGTACAGAAAGAATATTTTTATGGGAGTAGGGCAGTCTATGCCTTTGATTTATGATTTTTTAAAAAGCTATGTTTGCTGGAACTAACTCCACATCAAAATTTCTGTGATGCAACATCAACAACAAAACTCAGGACCTTTTAGCAGCCTATCAAAGGTTCTCTATATGCTTGAGCAGGTGGACAGTGACTGCCATAGAGTTCCAGGAATAAAAAAGGCTAAAGGCTCAATAAAAAAAGGAATTATCTCAGTCACTGGGACAAAAAACAAAGTAATACAGTTGTTTGGACATGCCAGACCTGGTCCATGAAGAATACAGGCATTGTGCCAGAACCTAGAAATGTTTTAAAACATTCCCTTTTTTAAAAAAAAGAAGTGTTCTGATACAGATAGTTTTAACCTTTCACCTTTGTCTTTAAGGTGTAAATGTTTTAAACATAGTAGTTCTATCTTTATGCAAACTAAACTTAATGTTATATCCATGTTTGTCCTTTTTCCCTTGGAAGTAATGGCTTTCCATCAGGAAAAGGCCTCTTCCTGCAGCATGCAAGATAGGGGCACCATTAATTTTCACAAAATTACAGTGTGAAATTTTGTAGCAAAACATCAAATTGGGTTTATACTTGCAGCTCTGAGCGACAGATCAGTCCTGTTAGTTATGCAGCATCCATCACGCCCCAGACCACAAAAACATTAGAGCAATAGCTGATTTACCACTATTTTTTGAGGAACTGGTACAGAGAGAAACAGATTTCAAAGCAGTGCTTGGGACAAATTGCCCTGCTCCATTTCAGTGAAGAATTACAAAAGTACTGGCACTTGTATCCTCAGCCATGGAGGACCAATTTTCCTTTGAAGCTACTCTTCCACATGTCATTTTTTACATGGTTGCAGATAGAAAGGAGCTGGGGCAACTTGGCTGAGATGAAGGCAGTGATGAAAGGAAAGTAAAGCCTTTTTTAGTAAACACACGTAGAGCTTGCTTGGAGGTACCACTGATAGCAAGTAAACCAGTTAAAAGGCAGTGTTTATCTGTGACTGCATTTCAATGCATTCTCTTCTAAACAATTGTCCTTCTCTGTCATTTTGAAGTGACCTCAGAGGTCAGGAGAAGAAAAACATAACAGTTCATCTCCTCCTCAAGATTTTTTCCCTTTTTTTTGTATATTTACTGGAAAATAAATACTTACAGCAGATTATCTCAACATCAAAGCCACGACACGTGTCTTGCAGGCGAAAGACATAGAGCTGTGTGTTTGGAAAATGTACTTCACCTGAAGGCTAACCTGCTTGTATGGTCAAAAATACTGCCTGCTTGAGCAACTTTTTTTCTTTTTTTTTTTTTTTTTTGTTTTTTTTTTGCTTTAAATACTAGCCAATTTGTTAGAAAGGAGTAAAACAGTTCCAATTAAAAACAAGAGCTGTTTAATTAATGGAAAAGCTCCCACTGACTTCAAAGGAGTTGAATTTGGCCCATTTATGCATTACACCCTGGCTTAGCAACCCCAGCTGCACAGGAAAGTGTTTCTGACATCTCTTTTCTGAATCCAGGCAGCAGCCAGAACACTTTGGGCTGGACTTCCCCTATCTCTGTACACAGGAAAACCGATCCATGGGACCCTGTGCAGGACCAAGCTGTTAGCACACCATATGCCCTGCATCACTGCCACCAGAGAAGGATATGGTCACAACAGATCGTCCTCCTCTCATCCAGTGCCTTGTGGGCCACACTGCTGGTTGTGTTGGTCTGGAGGAGAGCTGTCTCCTCACGCCTTGCAGAGGGAGGTGGGCTGTCATGAGGCCAACAGCTTGGCCAAAAGCAGTTCCTGAGCTGTCACATGAGCCAGATGGCTGCTAGAAGCTAGAGTTTATTCCTGGTGCTTAATACAGACGAGGGTTGAGAGCAGATTTCAGTCCACATTTACATACATGCTCTGCAGCAAGTGAGGTTTCCCTCAAAGACAGCAATCCTGACCTGCTAATATCACCTCCTATGGTAAGCTCAGGGGGCGAAACAACACCTTAAAATTCACCAGAATTCAAGTCAGCTAGCAATCTCTCTATTAACCACACCTAATAAAGCAATCCCACTGATGGCAACAGGTAGCAGGCTCATCAAACCATGCAACACGTAGGAAGATCCCCTGACAGTGAAGTCCAGCCAACATGCATTCCCTTTGTTTTGGGCAGAACATGCACTGCAAGGGGAGACTGTACAGGCCCTAGGCTTGCAAGCACACACACATACCCTATAAAAGGGCAACTAATACTCCAGTAATGTTTGTATCAGACCAAAAGCCCACAGGGCCTGAAGCTTATCATGTCCACCAGCTGTACTGATCTTCTGATCCATTGTCAGAGCATTTTCTCCAATATAAGCCCTCCCCCTGCACACACACAGAGACAAATGCAGGTAGGAACAGCTCAGAATTTTCATTTTTGGCTGTGATCTTCCCTGGAAAGTGCCCGAATGGTGGCACTGGCCAAAAGCCCAGAGCAACACACCCAGTCATGGCAAACTGGAAATCCCCCTAAAAGCCTATCCAACAAAATATGATTCATTAGTCATTAAAACACTTAGTCATTAGTCTTTAAAGGACTGTTGCAAAGTCAACATTGTGCCTTCAATCTCACAGCTACCCAAAATAATGCTGGATTTACCAAGAACACCTATCTAACACCTTGGTACAGGAAGAGAAAATGAGGATCTCAGGCAGATTATGGAAGACAAGTCAAGTTCCCAAATAATCCCATGTGGTATCAATTAATCAGATCAACATGGTAGTGCTAGCAGGTGCCTGGATCTTCCCTAGAAATCATACAGTAGCCACACAAGCTAATTGCTGCCCTACACGTATCTCCCTAAGGAAATCATTATTTCATTAGGAAGTAATGCCTTGCAGATGGATGATTAGTTGGGCACTACTTGCTACCCAGTAGTAGCTACTGAGCATTGACTGTTCTCTGGTTTAACTCCTCCTGATCCACTCCCACCTAACAAGGGCTGCAATTGTGACTTTGGGGAAAAGAAAAACTAAAAATAGATTAATATAGACTAGCACTTTTAAACACACAAAACCAGTGAATAATGTAGTTTTAAAAAACCTGAAAAAATGGGTATCTTCTAACATTTGTAAAATCCAGAGCTAGACTTTACCCCTGGCTGACAGCCATGCACCCAGTATTTGGGCCAAAGGCTGCTTTAAGGACACATTTGGCTGCCCATCAGGCAGGATGAATTTAAGCCCTGCCTGTTCACCTCCCTGATGCACCCCTGGCACTGGTGCACAGGGTCAGGCTTTAATGGATTTGCTTAAGTGGTGACACTCAGAGCAATTAATGCAAATTAGCCAGGCATGTGACTTTAAATTTACTGAAATTAACAAATTCAGTTCCTGCAATAACATTGAGTAAACTCAGAAGATGTATTTCAAAGCTCTAGCTGCACTAGACATCAAAACCTCATATGTTTGACCATCAGTGTCTCTCTGCCTTATGCAGAGAGCATATTGCAAGTCTAAATGCACTACACACACGATGTAACTGGGTGCACAGGAGCAGGTGGAGGGACAGTTTGGTAACCAGAGCTATATATGGGTGAGGTGGCTGCACTGTGCTGCATGGCCCCGGTCAGGTCCAGCCATGCTGCACATTGCTGGCCCTTGTAACTCTCATACCATGCAAATTCCAGGTGCAGCCAGAGCAGAACCAACATGTTTTGCATCCAAAGCTCCACAGAAACTCACCATGCTCACAGCAGCCAGAGAGACCACAGCTACCAATTGCTGCCAAACTGCCATCTGGGTCAGGGCAGGGTCTCTTAATAAAAGTAATGACCATAATTTTCAAGCAGCTTATGGAAATCTTTCAGGCCAGTGTATGAAAGCTTTTAGCCTGAAGACCTTGATCCAGATGGAAAAACTTTAGATAAACTTCTTTCTTTTTGTTGGAGTGCATTGAGTGTTGGCTCACACTGCTGGCCAGGTCTATGCCCATAGCCAGGATGCTGTGTGCATGTCAGCCCCTGCCCCACCACTGCCTTCTCCTTCTCTGCCCACCCCAGGCAGAGTCAAGGTAGAACCAGCAGATAAATAATGAGGAGCACAGCTTTTATATTTCCATTGCAAAATAAGACACACTCTTTGTGGTGACAGAAACCAGAGATAACACCCTGAGACATGAAAACACTAGATGCCCTGTCCCACAGATGGCAGGGAAACCACATGAGTGCCTGTGCCCTCACCTTGCCAGGGTTGTTTCTGTCAGAAGGACAGGGCTGGAGGCCACTGCCACTGTAACTCCAGCCCGTCTCCTGCAGGATGTCAGGGGTCTGCTGCCTGGTCTGCCGTGACACCACGAAGTGAACCTGCTTCTCGCTGGCCTGTGGGAGGAAATACAGTGTGAATCCCACTGCTCTAGTGCAATAAACCCGTGCACCTCAGCCCCAGAGGGTTCACAAAATGCAGGCATCCTTTAAACATTGTTTGGCTTTCCCACTAATGTGGATGCAATGACATAAAGGAGTAGGATCAGTTCAGGTGAACGAAATCCATAAAAGCTTACTGCCAGCTAATTAATACTTCTCTTGAAAACTGGGTGCTAATTCTAAAAAACCCTTCCTACGTGCCGTAAATTGGGTTGGGAGCAGTGACCCACCACAGCGAGTGGTGATCAGCTCTCACACACACCTACATACACCACTGCAGAACAGCAGTGTGCCTGCCACAGGAGACAGACAGACAACCAGAGTTTTTGTCACCTGATAGGTGGAAATGTTGAAAAAGATGCAATTAACCCTGTAATGAGGGATGTGCTTAAGCCTTGGCTGATGAAAGTGGGAAATAAACAGTGTAAGTAAGTCCACCTGCATGCAATGAGTGTGACATAGGTAAAGATACTTGAAGAAAGGGTTGTGCAACCATTTTGAGAAATAAAATACCACTGCACCAGAGCACAGAGAAAGAAGGATGACACAAACAAGCATAGAGTGAGAGTCTAGACTGGGAAAGTACTTCAAACTCTCACTCTAGGAAGAGGAGCTTCAACAACAATTAACACAAGCTCAAAGAGCTTCTAGGCCTTTTTGCACAATGGAGTCATAATACTTTCATGCCTAAGAGGTGCTGCAATGCTTCTACTGAGTTATGTTTGCTCACTATTATTAAGGTGTTCTGTGTGTGCCTAATATACTAATATTAATTCTGTGTACAGGTGATATTTTTACTGTTTTATTAAATCAGCACTGTTTCCCTAGAAGGAAATTGCTTTATTGTCCCCTCAGTGAGGCTCACATGAATCTGTTTGAGACAACAGTGATACAAAGATAAGGCTGAGAGGTAGTGGGATTTAGCTGGGTAAATCATAGATGTCTGCCATAAGGGCAAACCAATACACTTAACTGAAATGAAAAGCAATGTAGAAATAATTTCAATGCTATAGAAGCATACACAGAAGACATAAAAATTAATCCTCTAATCTCCTTCTGTGAGGCACAGAAGGAAAACAGACAATATACATGGGTAGAGCTGCCAGTGTGGCAATTCAACACAGAGAAACTGCTGGCCTGAGGCAAGATACATGGGAGCACCATGCAACAAGCCTAGACACACCCAGGAACAATAACTGGATGTCATGTGAACAGCATGTCCAGATGTGCCCATGGACAGCAGCAGAATGTCACCTGAGCAGTATGTCCAGATATGCCCAGGAACAATAGCCACCTCAAGTGATATAAGCAAGCCTTTCCTGAGCCTGGACGGAGCTCTCTCCCCACTGAAGAGGACATGGGCTAATGGGACACTGCTGGATCCATGGTGGTGACTATTCTTTGCTTCTTGCAATTCCCTTTGCATTTTTCTCCCCTTGTCTTACTTCCCTCTTTCTGTCTCTCCCTTCGATGCTAATAAAGTGAGTTATAGTTTTAGTTACAAACATCTGACCTCATTTGTGTCTTAATCTCGCTCTGGGTATATTTGAACATAAATCCCCTCTGCATCTGTGAATCAGGAAACCTTCTCTCTAGGCTAAAGACCGTGCTGTTGTGCCAGGCAGGAGGGGCCCTTAAGAAGCAGTCTCCAGAGGGACTCCTGCCTGCTTGTTCCCAGGTTATAACCAAGGACCAGCATGGAGTCCTCTGCAAGCACATCTGGAGGTCTGATCCCCCTGGGGCTGCAGTGGCAATGCTTGTTGGTACTACAGCCCAGGGGAGGCATCAGACCTCCTGCCTTGCCTGCTGGCATGGTGACATGCCCTGCTCACTGGGGAGAAGCTCCAAGGAAAGCTGGCACTGAAGAAGCAGTTTGGAAAACAAACCCAGATGCAGTTGTGCTATTGAAATCAAATCTCCCACAGACAATTAACAGAAGCCAGAGGAAACCTTTGGGATTTTCGGTTTGTCTTCTCTGGAGCTGAATTCAATAGCAGTAGCCAAGAGATTAAAAAAAAACACTTTTGAAAAATGTCATGTTTGTTAAGTTAAAGTAACCTATCTTGCCTAAACCTCCAACTTCAAGCCTGAAAGCTGTATGTCCAGGCTGTGCTATTTCTAATGAAGTTAAAAATGTGCAATTCTTTGTTACTTTCCAATATCTTGGGGGATGTTATCCTTTTCACCAGAAACTCGAATCTACACACCTTCATCATATATCACTTGGTGCATACACAAGTATTTCAGGATAACTTTCTACGTATTTTTACCAGATCTGTTTTTATGGAATATTTATTTGTGGACTCTGGACTTAGCTGGTACTCAAAAGCAGAATGCTGTACCTTGGGAGAAAGGAAACCACCCCAGTCCCTAGTTTGTAATATGACTGAGATGAAACTGAGTGATAGAAGGTTAAATCTCCCAAGGGAGATTTCATGTGGCCCCATGAACATCCAGTTTTGTCTAAAACAAACAATTTCAGCTTAATGCAACTTTTTTTGAAACTCATCTGCTGCCACATGGTAAGCCTCAAAGTTGGTTATTTAGAGAAAGGTTGTAAACGTGATTAATTCCTGTAGAATGACTAGCAAAAGTTCAACAAGAGTCTCTATTGCAATGTCACATTTGTCCCCAGGTCAGTGGAGTAGTTTCTCAGAAGTCCAGAATGTTTTTAAAAGCTATCCAAACAACAAAAGCAGCTTTTGTATTTACGTACATATAAAAACTCATTAATGTTTCTGCTTATCAGAATATTCATTACTGATTCATTCTGATCCCACCCTCTTAAGACTTGCTTTTCCCACAAATCTTTATATTTTATGTTGAAGCAAGAATTAAAGAAATGAGGTTAGCTTTGAGACTGAGTGCAAGTAATAGGTGAAACAATTTACTAGAATTGAAATCTGTGTTACAGCAAAGAAAATCAAGCAGGGAGACAAAGATAATGTGGCAACTCCTGAGCATCTAGTAGGCCATTGCATCTTAAAAAGAGGCAGTGGTGCTGCTTTCAGCAGAAGCTGCTCCATCTGTCGCAGGGATGATGGAGCACAGATACACTCCACATCAGAACCTGCTTGTTGGTGGTAGATGTCGTGACAAAGTGGGGCTCGTGTGTCTGTCACAGCTGCTCTGAAATGCAGTGGGGGAAAGAAGGAGAGAGAAGGTTGAACATATCAGTTCAGTAAAGTCTGGCTCAACCCATGCAGCTCGGTTTGATGCACTCACACAAGTACCCACTGATGTGATACCTTGTTCCTTTTCTTGTCACTCTCATGGAAAACAGACGTGGAATATCACGTTATTTAGATTTAAAATGCCACTTCTGACACAAAGCCATGACTAAAGATGACATGACAAATGGGAAGAAGCAAACTCCCAAATGTTATGATGTGTGCACGTTCCTAATTAGCACGTACATATTTTCTTCATTTCAGTTCTTGTGACTGAATTTATAAAGAGCCAGACACCTAATCTACTGATTAACAACTGCTCCACATATGCTAATATATAATTGCTATAGGCCTGAAGAATCAGATTTGTCTCAAGCATTCATTATTTCAAAGTCAAAACTAATCAGATTCCACAGAAATCTGGCTTTTTCCTAGCTGTGCTTGGTCTAACAAGCCACCTTCACCTTTTAGTGAATGTTAGTTCTGTTTTTAAAGAAACCAATGGTGTATTTGTAGCTTCCACCACTATGAATTTGAAGACCTCAATGTACTGCAAGTGACACACTGAGGTTTGAACAGGCAGGATGCTGTTGAGAAATCAGAGGAGAGGCTGAAACATCCCTTCGTGTAAGAAGTAAATGCAAAACACTTGTGGCTTCAATATAATGGTTTTTCTCTGGCACAACATGGAAACAGGAAAGGCAAATTATAATTGATGAAATAACATGGCAAAAATGACACAGGTTCCAGGAATTTTGCATTAGACAAATGTGATTCATAGAGGTCGTATCGATGCAATGTAATGCTGACTGTTTGGAAACCTGAGTCTCCCCTTTGATGGGCATGTTTAAATTCCCAGGCACTGGTGTGCATTTCAAGCATTATTATAAATAACATCCACTCTTTGGTACCCAACAAGGGCTTTAGCTGCATTTTGAAACACTTGTATGTGAATGGTCTGGTTAGTGATTTTTTCCATGTCATCTCTAGGTTGCATGTAGTTTTTGCTTATGAAGAACTGTTGCCTTGTTGTGTAGCCATAAAGACCTGTCCCAAGAATATCAGTTTTTTAGAAAGATCTTCATACCAGACTTGTTCCCCTCAGAGAATTTAAACCACTCCCACCCCTTGCCACCTTCTGCTCCCAGTTAGTGAGCTACATAAAGTAATTCAGAAAGATGCTGGACCAGAATTTCAGCAACTGGCATTATGCAAAGGGACAACATTTTCTTTACCTATCCTATAAACTTCTCAATAAAAGCTGGCTACAACCAACTGTGAATCAGAGAAATCATTTCCACAAAATGCATGTATTTAAATGTTTCTTTCAGCCTGACTTCTATTACCCTGATTATACCTGTTGGAAAGGGGAAGCAGCCAGCCTGATTTGACATTTCATTATTGAGGCACATAAAATTCTTCAATATGTGAACACACTGCATGCCTCCAAATGAAATTTAAAATTGCACAAGTATAATAGCTGCTATAAATACAAGATAAAAGCCACAGAAGATTCTTGGCTTTGCTTTTTATGTTGAAGCTTTCTAAAAACATAGTCTGTACAGAAAGAAAACAAATGAAAATTGTTCTGGAGGGGAAATTCAGAAGAAGTTGGCCAATTGTGTAGCTGCAAAAGGCATAGGGTTTTTTTCAGACAGTTTTGTGTTAAGACTGCTCAGTGGATTGCAGAGGCACCCCATTAGTTCTCCACAAAAAATACAGATTTATGAAAACTACAGCTACAGATACATTTTTTAAAACATTTAGATTTCCATATGCTGGATTTAGGTAAGAAATATCTATAAGGTATGGGCTACCTTCAGTTGTAAAACACACCCATGGGAAATCACAGAGTCTGGGAGGGTGATGTTCATCCTAAACCATGCCATCCATTGCCTTAGGCTACTCTGGCCTGCTCCAGGGCTGCACCAGGGAGCACTGTGATTCCTTCTGAGATGGGGGAGTCAGAACTCTGCTGGACCCAGTGCTCCCAGGGTGCATGTTGACATTCCTTTTGGCAGATGGCATCACTTTTTGGTAATGCTCAGAGTATATGGAAGTTTACACTTCTGAAGCCTGATGGTAGCAGGCACCACTATGAGACTCCATGCCCATATTCACCCTTGTAGCCACAGTGAAACCAAGGAGCTTTTAGAGGAGTAAATTCTCATCCAAGCTCAACATGTCTCCTTCCCTTCTCCAAATACATAAACTTAATGTTTGACCCCTGCTTCGCCATGGATGGTGAAAAAACACTGCCTGTTTTTTTGCACAGTTCAAAAACCCAGGTCAAAGTGGTGATGACAAACCTGTATCAGTTGGGCTGCACTCTCTGGACTGCCGTACCGATGGTCATGCCCATTGATGGCCAACACCCGGTCGTTCTCCTGAAGTTGTCCATCACGGGCAGCCATGCCACCTTCCAGCAAGTTGAAAATAAATACCCCTGGTTCATCAGCCTTGCGGACCAGCTTTATTCCCAGCTGCTCATCTGGACTGCTTTTGTTCAGCACAACATGGAAACTGTCATCCCTATTGCAGTGAGCATCAAGGGAGAGTCCACTGTTTCGGCATCGGTACCTCTGCTCTCGGAGCACTGTCAGTCGGAGCACGTGGCAGGGCTGCTTCAGGATTGACAGGGCATAGTTGTGAGGCACATTTTTGATGTCCATGCCATTTACCTAGAAGAGAGAAGCATAAATCAGCAGCAGAAAGGCAGTCTATTCTGAATTGGCACTGGAGAGGGCAGATCTATTTACACAGATGTCTTCAAATGAAGTGACGTGCTATTTCAAACTGTGTCACACAGGAGCTCAAGTTTGTGGTGCAAAACAGCCTTCCCCCCAAGGAAAGGATGCACTGTACAGACAGTTTCTGCCCTTTTTTTTCTCCAGACATACATGTTATTTTAGTGCTTTCTTATTGCTCTTTCCCAAACTCTGGTATCCTTTCAAATATCTTATTCCACTAGCTTCTGATTTCAAATTGCCTTGCCAGCCTTTTGTTTCACTCCTACCACTTTCCTGCTGTTTCTCTTCTTCTTTATCTCCCAGATGTTCTAGGTACAGTAAAAAAATTCCCCCCACTAATGAATCCCTAATTGAAATGAAGAAAAGAGCCTCAAGTAGAAGTTTAAACATCCTGGATATTTTCTACCAATTATGCTGATTTACCACACCAGAGAATCAGACCTTTTCAGTTTCTCAGTGGTTCCCAGTTAAGATTTAAATCAGGTAGCAGTAACACTACATAGCTATGACTTTTTTTAGTTTAGCTGGGGAAAAGAAAGAGAAAAAATGAGCTGTCTCAATCCTGTCATACCCAGTGTGAGTAGGCATTGCACTTTATATTGCTAAATGAAAACCAGTTGCAAGATTGTAATTCGTTGCTGGCTGGAAAACCCAAATCAGACAAGTTATTCCCATGTATTTTTACGTTGCATAGGTTGAACCATTTAAATATTAAGAAATCTGTCCAAACTGCAACAGAAATGCTCCCCAGCATTCAGCTGGTGTTTGCTTTTGCAGATTACAGGGCTGTCCCTTCTGCAGTCTGGTGGAGTCAGTCAGAGAGACACAGCCCAACTAAGTAAGCTGCTAGCTCTGGTACTATGAACAGCATGAGCTCTACCAGTATGGGGCTGAAATTCCTGTGAATCCTTGGAAAATTCCTTAGCAGTCAGCCACAGGAGAGAGCTGAGCTGGGCCCATCCATGCTGCAGTCACAGCTTAATAGTGCAGATTGGATGTGTCCTGCAGGAACAGTTTTGGCTCAGTGGTGCCATTAACTGTGCTGCTCTGTGCTGGCAGCAGGACAAAAAGTCTCCCTGAACCACACAGCTGGGTGACACTCATCCAGCTGCCACCTGGAACCACAATCCAGAGGCATTTTTATACAGTGCTAGAGTGAAGTACGCCCACATCGTGATCCTGACTCTTTGGCCAGGGTCTGTCTGACATGAAACAGAAGATATGGCACAACCTTGGCATGCCTCAAGTGTCCACAGCTACCGCTGGGGTCAGCAGAAGTAAGGAAAGCATAGTGGCTTACAGGTGGTGCTCTGAACTTCAGGAGATGGTATCCTTAATAACTACTCACATAGACTATGTAGTGGAAAAAGTCATTAGGACTTGGGGAACTGCTCACTAGCCAGGCATACCAGAACAGGCAGTGGGATGGACAACCAGAGTACCACCTTGAAGAAAACCCTGAGTTATGCACATCAGACCTTGCTGTCCATGCCACTTCCAGCTTCTCCAGTTAATGCCACACTGGTTAGCCTGGGAACCAGCACCAGTCTATCAATGGCAGTTTGGCCCACAGTGAACAAAGCAGCCTGCTCAAATGTTTAGCTGCAATTTGGAAAACCTGGGTGAACTGCACCTGGTTTGCAATGTGGATATACCTGTGCACTCCAACTATACACCATCAAAGTGTCAAAGCAAGGACAGGAACTAGTATTTTCCCCAGTCACTCTTTCTTCTAAGGATTGAAGCAATAATATGATTTATCATCCTTGCTGAGCTGCAAGTCGCTGGGGCAACTGGGATTGCAGTTTTCATTCAAAAGCTTTTGCTGAAGACCTCATTCACAATATAAATGTTTTTTAACCACTAGCCTAATTCTTGTTCATCTGTTGTACATTTCTATAGAAGTAGGAGCAGAAGTAGCAGTCAACAGCTAATTCCTGGATGCTGCTCAAGTTTGTTCTTCGAAATTTCACCTGTGGCTGCTGGTGGAGCAACGCTCACAAAATAAAGTGGACAGTATCTAATGCTCTGTGGTATTGAATGCATCATACAGAGGAGTTAGATGCTGAAATAACATAACCCTGATCAGCCCCCTTATCCTGGTGATTTAAGCCCACGGTTCAGTACAAAATAACTGGGAAGAAAGCCCAGCCATTGCTTTCAGGAAACAACTTTTGCACCACCAGGTCAGAAGTGCTGAAAGTCTATTGCACTACATTGCATTGTGGATCTACCATGTTTGAGGAAAATCAGAGAGGCCTGGCAGTGAATAAGAAACAGAAACAAATCTGTGAGCCTCAAGAACTGTTGAAATTAATGAAATCATCACAGCATGCAGAGGAACTGAACATCTTTCTGCATGCAACATTGCAGATGTCATCATGATTGACTAAAACAATCTTATTCTTTCTTGGGATATTTTCATCTCCTACCTCCACAGTACTGTACCTTCAGTATCATGTCTCCAGGCAGCAATCTTCCATCTCTGGCAATCACCCCATCTCGATAAATATGCTGTATAATAATGTGAACCAAAGGGGTCTCACTGCCTCCCACAATCCTAATGGCCAAGTTTTCATGGGGATCAGTACGGCTGATCTTAATGCAGGTAATTTCCCCATCTGGAATCAGGTGATACAACCTGGGAAAACCTGGAAATGCATATTGTAAGGTATTTATTTGACATCACAGCTTTGCTTTGTTGAAACATGCACCACACAACTTCAAGTACCTGCCAGTTAGCCAAACCAGTTTTTATGCAAGGATGTGATTTACATGAAGCGGGGAGGAAAGGATAGCAGGTGTGCTTGCTGAGTGGGCTTGAAGGGATCATTTTACAACTAATATATTCAAAGTCCTTTTTTTTTCCCCCCACAAAACATAGCCCTAAACCTTTAATGGAATCCAAACAGATGAAATGTACTGAAAAACATTTACACATGTCAACATTTTAAGGGAACAAAATACATTTTAGTCACTAGAGACACCTCAGAAACATGCCATGGCTTCTTGCCAGGCCTAAAGCAGATGGGCATGGGAACCTTGACAAACATCCATCCCTGCTGTGCTACCCTGTCTTACTGGTAGCATCCCAGGATACCCCATTCTTCTTCTACAGTAGCTTCCTAACCAGACCTCTCTCCTTTCGTCACTGCTTGAACTCTAGGCAGTAGGAATGACTGGCTCTTACTGTGACACATCTGGATGAAACCACAGTATGCTCAAAGTGCCTGGAGGGAAAGATCTCTGCTGTCCCTGGCAACCTGGGTGTGGGGAGGAGGGACTAATGGTGGGCAAGGGTCCTTTTTGTATTTATAATGCATGAGCTAAGAGTTTCCTCTTCCAAATCCCACTTTTCAGCTGGCACGTTTGAATTCACAGCACGTCACTAGTACTTTCTTTCCTTCTAGGTCAATTCAAAACTTTTATCCACACTCAGCAATGAGCAAAGTTGAAGTAAAAGCATCAGTGAGTTTTCTAGCACAGGTATATCAGCTTTCAATTATTTTGAATCTCCCACAGGTGAGAGAAAGCTTCTGAATTTTTTGCATCTGTGTCTAATCCAGTGCTTATATGAAAAACCTGCAAATCAAAATATTAACTGCTAGTGTTTTTTTCAATAACCTATTTTAGAAATGAAAGTACAGTGACTGTTACTGAATAGTGGTTAAATGTAAAATGAAAATTAACAGACCAGTATCTGAGATAGAACAAATCCTTTCTACTACAGAATTAGCAGGCAACAAACCAGCAAGGCACCAAAACCTTTTGGAAGAGAGCAAAGGCAAAGATAGAGCAGGAAAAAAAATATTGAGAAACACCATGTTGCATCCCTTACCACTTCTTTGATCATATGCTCTTCAGGGTGGGAAGCTGTCCTCCTCCACGTCTGTAAAAACCACCTACCGGTAGTGCAGACTCCACTTTGTGTTTTTACACAGAGTTGATAGGCAATAAGTCTATCTAGATAACTACACAGCCTTCACCAACCTAACACCGAAGTATTTATTTAGTTTATATTCTTGTAATAGCAGTTTCTTTGATAATATGTGTTGAGTTCATTTTTTTCATGCAACCTTAATGTCTCAGGAATGGAAGGTGCTTCATTTTCCCCATATTCTATTTTCTAAACAGTGTTTCTTAGCTTGTAACTTGTTCACTTCTCTCTAATCTGAGTGGATTCACTCGATCTAAATCCAGGCCTCTAAGTCAAATGCACAATTTGGTGATCTACTTACTCTGACTTCCTTTATAGGGACCAATACCCACCTAATCACTAAATCACCTCTGGAGGTGCTAAAAGTTCTTCACTGCTATGTGTGGACAACATCTTCTAAGAAGTAAGAGGCAATTAACTCAGACATCTCAGTGGGGTGCTTAAACTCAGACTAGTACTCCTCAAAAACAACCAACAGCCTGATCCCTGCAACAGAGTAAGCATGCACATTTTACACTCTCAGTGTGGCTATTATGGTAGTTATGCATAAAAATACAAATAAAAATCTGGATACCTAGGTCTTCTCTGCATGGAAATAGTGTAAATAAATATATTCTGAAGACTACCAAAGCAGTCCTATAGTAGAACTATTTCCATTTCCCATCACATGATTATTTACCTTATGTCCTAACAAACTGTGGTTTTTTGACTCACTTTTTCCCATATCTGATTCTGCAGATTTTCTAAAGGAATTATGCAGTTACATTTCTTGTCCACAGAGAACTGTGGACTGAACAAGTTATTGACACTCATGTTACTTCAGTCTGTAATTATCCCAGAGCAAAGACAGGGCAACGTGACAGTGAACAAGTTTCTACACTTCTACAAGACTTACATGTATCTTTACATAGGGTATAAACTTTTTTAAGTTTCTTTGTGTCTTGAACAATGCCTGAGCTGGTTTATTAAGTCTTTGCACTGGCCCTTGGCTGACTTTCAACATGACTTTATGCAGATTCTTTTAGAGGAATTTTTAATATCTACTTTCCTTCTGAAGTGTGCAGTCTACAACAAAACAAATCTTCCCAAGACATTTTTCTTGCCAGCCTGCAAGTCTCTAATGCTTCTCCTATATAGTTAGCAGGCTGTACTGTACCTCTTGTCTTCATTTGATTTGTGCTCTTTATCAAATATAATTGATAAATTGAACCATTTTCTCCTCAGATGGGCTAAGCAGCCAAAATAACTCCATGATCCCTTAATTTCTGTTCTCTTCATTGAAGACTTGCCTCTTGTTTTATCCCATATACATGGACATTTGTATTATCAACAACCTAGACTGTTGTAAGTGAAAGACCAATGCCTATTTTGATATACTGACACTAAATTTGACAAACTAAATGTATAAAAATACACAAGTACACATTTTTAAATGAAGAAAATTCATCATCACTTTTCCTCAAAACAATCTGCATACATTATGAGTAGTTTGATCAAAACCTACCACATTTATTTCAAGATGTTGCCATGTATGGAAGTCTGTGTCTTCAAACTGAATTTTTTAGTGTATATCCCACAGCCAGGAAAGGTGGACCCTACTTCAGCACCTGGTTGCATCAGTGAATGAGGCCTCAGCAGACCAATTTTAGGGACTCCAACTACAGCTGGGTTCAGAGCTTGTACCATTCATAT